AAAAAATACTATACTACTCAAAATGCATTGCTAATAGCTGCGGAGAATTTGAAAGACAAAATTTGAGACCGAGTGGAGAAAATGGAAAAACGTATTAGAATTTGTGGATATATAACTTTTGATTTTTGGTACATATTTTTTAATTCTCTTCAACAATACAGAATGCAGTTTACTATTTCTCCTTGACCCTTGCTTTGGTGTTCCAAAAGAAATACTTGTTCTGCATAATTTGTTATAATATAACGTGTTTCATGTTTTACACATAAAATGACTTGACTACTATTGTGTTACTAGCCCAGCTCTCTCTTTCCTGATTTCTTCTATCTTCTCAGCTTTATCTTTTCTTTGTGAGTCCTGTTGTATGGGTGTGCATGTTTGTGTACAGGATTGAGCGAATATATATGCACAAAAAGTTAATCTTTAAAAGTAATTTTAGCAAGAACTACGTGCTAAAAAATAAAATGCAGGATATTTTTCATAATTTGCTCTTGATTTTTAAGATTTATGAGTGTGATGGTGAGGGTAGGTGTGGTTTATGCAAAGGGAATCATAGTGTGTAATGGGTCTCTTTCATTATTTCAATTTAAATTGATGACATTCTAGATATGATTTAGAATCTGTAATATAGAGTTTATAATTTGTATCTCTACTAATCTTTTTTTTATAATTAATATGTAATAAAAGACATTGTACAGTTTATTTTTCATTCTGGTACAATATATTACTGGAATTGTTTCCCGCGTGTTGGGCGATAGTCACACGTGTGTATTACCAACGCATGCTCCGTCTTTTCCAGTGGATAGCCCTAGCCTAGTGAATCATTACATAGGAAACTGTGAAAACAATTTTACACTGGCCATGTTATTCAACAATTTGAAAAAAACAAAACATTTAATCTATACAATTCATCATTGAGAATACTAGGGATTTGTCAACAAGCAGATAGGCCTTTGATACAAATACAAATACTACAAAATCAGAGATACTGGTTCACTTAAAACCAGAGGTTGCAATAGAAAACTTATAAATAAACAATTTAGTTTAGTCCGTATGTCAAAATAATCTATTTATTAGCAAGAAAACTAGAGATGTTGATGGCGGGTAAATGCAAGACGATGAGGGAAAACCACGATGAAGGTCTATAGTTAGAGCCGTAAAAATACACTTTCTAGATCGTCAGTGCGATTGAAATCGTTCTGTGTACATGATAATTTACCAGATTGTAATTATGTAAACAAATTATTACATATTTATGATCAACTACCGAGAATTACCTGCATTCATGAACCCACCCGCGATCGGTAAGCTAAGGCTTGATGGCGGCCATTATTAAAAACACACCGATCAACAACCGTTTTCAGAATACAAATACTACAATTTCAGAGCTATGGGTTACATTTCAAACCACCTAACAGGCACGACAACATATCAAAAAGCAATCATGTTTATTCCGTATGTCCAATTATCTCATTGTAAGCAAGTAGTTTTCTCATCGATCGGCGGGTAATACAAGACGATGCTCAAGGGTAGTGAAACTACACGCTATTATATCGATGAATTTTGGTCAATATTAAGAGCCATAAAAATATTTTCTAGATCGTCAGTGCGAATGAATACTTTATATGTACATGATAATATACCAGGTTTTAATTATGTAATCAAATTATTACATATTCATAATTAATTACCGAGAATTACATGCATTCATGAACCCATCCGCGATCGGTAATCTAAGGCTTAATGGCGGCCATTATTAAAAACACAGCGATCAACAACCGTTTTCAGAATACAAATACTACAATTTCAGAGCTATGGGTTAAATTTCAAACCATTTAAAGGGAACGATAACATATCAAAAAGCAATGATGTTTATTCCGTATGTCAATAATCTCATTGTTAGCAAGTAGTTTACTCATAGATCCAGCGTTTAATCTGTTAATGGCGCGTGTGAAGCCATAACATTATTCAAGTTGGCAACGGTATTGGATTACTATAAACTTTCGCATTCTGCGACATGTTACTGTTATTCGACACAACAAAGACTATTCAGTTTAGACATAAGTAAAGCAAATATCACTTACTTTGAACTCCGGACAATTTTACGGTACAGGATTCACCAGAATGTATCTTTTGTCACCGGCAATCAATTTCCAAAAAGATTGAAGCGGCGGGTTTTTCCCCAAAGCACGTAAATTCTCGCGCTTTCTCGCAACATCAGAGTGCCCAGGTCTTATTTCCTATACCGAAGAGGCAGTTGCCTTTCCCTCTAATCTAATTCCGTGATACTACTAACCACAGAATTCCTAAATCAATGTCAAGTACAATTAATCCGATATTTCCTTGACTTGTCTACCCAAATCGATTATAAGAAATGTGCATTTCAGTTATATTTCACATAACATTGACAGCGACTGCTGACAACTCCACCCTACCCCAACATCCATGCCCTACTTAGACCAGGGGGATGACTTCATTGTAAATATTAGTCAAGCATTCAAAATATCCGATAAGACGCACATATACTTGTGTTCACTCAAAACAATTGCAGGGGCACTTCCTGTAGCAATTTTCTTTAAAAATAATGTGTTTTCACCATTTTCTTCAATTCCCCCAGATACAGGTCCAGTACACTCTGCCGATTGAGCTATATAGCTGTAAAGACCTATAATAGCTCTATTGTACTGAACCCGAGATAGATCTCTGGATCCGCTACTGACGCGTTACTCAATAAACATATATTATGTTGGTCCAAATTATAAACAAAGAAATCAAACAGGACAGGATGAAGGCTAAATACATCTTTTGACTATTTATAAATTATATAAAAAAAACACTGTATACAAATAGGTGGACAGGAAAAAGATCTATTTCTCTCCTAATTTTGACAAAAATACATAGTCAATTTTGAATTAAGAGTAAAATTGATATAAGGTATAGTATACCTGGTAAACTCAAATCCTCACGATATATCGAGCTCGTAGCTTTTACATGACCCAACTGACTTATGTGGTTCGACCATAGCAAGTGTTTATAGAGTCGATTTTGGCTAATACTTATGGGTTTTAAGAAAAATAAAAACACCAAAATATTACCAAATAAAACTAACATTTTAGTATTATAATTAGCAGATGACATACTTTTACTTACCTTTGTAAGATATGAATGCTTTAGAGAAAAGTGAAAAGGCACATGAAAAATGCATGCGAAAGTTGAAGTTGTTGAATCGCGAACTCAGAGAGCAACAACCAAAACGAAAACGCCCCAAAAAAGGATATACTTCATATCCAGCAAGAGATGAGCAAGGAAGGACGATTCGCCATTCACCGAAGAAAAGAAAAAAAGGTAACTTTATGCATTTACAACCTATGATAATGTACTATTTACAGACCCATTATTGTGGTTCATTAGGGCCCGGGATACCCATTATCATGATTACATCTATAGGAGAATGTAAAATACATTTCCAAAACTCCAAAAAAATATTTGTAAAATACTAAGAGCTTTTTTGAGGCATACATAAGAAGATTTTCCCCATCAAATAATGTGTCAATGGAATGTTCTGAGTGTGACCAACGTGCTGTTATTCGGTAAGATGCAAAATTAATAGAACTCGAGAGAAAGTATGATTTGTGTATGAAACTTTACGCATTATGAAATCTAACAAGAGGCCTAATGGGCCTGCATCGCTCACCTGGTATAAATCCCACACTTGTAACCTTAAAAGTGATCTAAAATAAAGCTACAGGCAAAATATCAGTATTTATGATTAAAATTCATTCAAAAGACCCTGTTTTTTTTTAAACATTTCACCCCTGTGATTGAAAGTCAAACAAAGTCATTATGTTGAACAAATTGAATAGCCTTTCATCTCGGGATGCAACTTGCAAAGTATCAACATCCTGGGACCCATGGTTATTCAGAAGAGGTTGTTTAAAGAGTTTTGACAAATTTGACCCTATGACCTTGAATATAAGTCAAAGTCATTCACTTTAACAAACATAGAAGTCCTTGATCCCAGCATGCTGCTGACTAAATATCAACATCCTGAGCCTTTTGGCTATTCAGAACAAGTTGTTTAAATATTTTGAACATATTTGCTCCTTGTGACCTTGAATATGATTCAATGTCATACATTTAAACAAACTTGGTAGCCCTTGATCCTAGTATGCTACTGAATAAATATCATCACCCTGGGAATTTTGGTTATTCAGAAGAAGTTGTTTAAAGTTTTTAACATATTTGACTCCTGTGACCTTGAATATGGATGAAAGTCATTCATTTGAACAAACTTTGTACCATCACCCTGGTCATTTTGGTTGATAAGAAGTTGTTTAATTGACACCGAATGACGGACGCCGCGCCAATAAAACCGGAGGATAATCCAAACATACAGAACCTGAACTGATTATGTACAGTGGTACTGATTTTTGATTATTTGTTGACTGTCACATAATTTACAAATTAAGACCCCTTCTGCTTTTTCAGTCGAGGTAAGGAAGTTCCATCGGATCTGTCCAAGTTGCAGTTTATTTTCACGTGTTAAAATCCAGAAATGGGCCTGCAGACATTCCTTGCCCCGGGCAGAGGTGAATGTGCAACTCCTAGAAGAGAGTGGAAAGAAATGCAGAGAAAACAGAAGTGTCTCGAAGATAATCGAAAGGATATACAAAGATGTATGTACATGTCATATTTTGTAGAGAAAATTGTAAATGACTATATGTGGTTTTTGGTATTGAAAAAAACCTGATTATGAATCTATGCTTTTTGGGTATGAAACAAATCAATTACTTCATAATGTAAAATTATAATTTGCAATACACACTTATCAGAATAATACATTATGAAAATAACCATTTACAATTAAGATTATGTAATTGAAAATTCTACTTAAAAAAAAAAAGTGTATCCTTGAACATAACTACTAAGCCGCATCCAAGAAGTTAAGACTTGAAATGTGTTACTTTCAGAAAAGCAGAATTCATCCACAACTGCACCACTCCCTATGACTGTACCAATCCCGACAACTGTACCACTCCAAACGACTGTACCACTGCACCACTCCCAACAAGCACACGACTCCCGACGACTGCACCACTCCCAACAACTGCACCACTCCGGATGACTGCACCACTCCCGACGACTGTACCACATCTGATGACAGCACTACTCCCAACGAAAGCACCACAACAGATGACAGCACCACTCCTGACGACAGCACCACTACAGATGACAGCACCACTCCCGACGATTGCACCACTCCCGACTACTTTACCACTTCTGATGACAGCACCTCTCCCGACGACAGCACCACTCACGACGATTGCACCACTACAGACAACAGCACGACTACAGACGACAGCACCACTTCCGACGATTGCACCACTTTCGATGACAGCACCACTACATACAACAGCACCACTTCGACTGCAATCCATGGCCAAAGGTCAACCAAAAGTGTGAATTATATGCCCCCCTCCCCCTACACCCTTCCAACCCAGGGCCAAAGGCCTGGATATGGTAGAATTAATTACTTTTCATAGATTGAAGGGTCTTTAGGAACCAAACAAATTTTCTGAATTTCATTACTCCTTAAATAAGGCTGCATATTCGCCTCTGGGGAGAAGGAGAGGTTTACTGTAATTTGTATAGAAAAATGATACTTTTGGGTATATTTTTGTTCATTGACTGGAAATCATTCTAACTTGATTGGAATAATAACCTTGTGTTGATACTTTGAAAAGTTAGAGCTAGTCCTATCCCAGGACCTGCAGGGCAGGGTCAAAAGGAGTCAAATTGGATTTAATTGCAACAATCTTGCTATTCAGATATATTGGAAACTACTTTTTTCATTATTGGAAGGGTCTAACTATACTTTATCAAAATTCTGAATTTCATCACCCACACGCTTCATGTTTGCCTCGGAGGTGGTGGTGAAGTTTATATAATTAGTACAGGTATATATAGGGAGGTTATACTTACAGGTTTATTTTGTTCAATTCAATTGAAGGTTGGTTTTCAAAATTTCATCAATATCATAATTCATGGAATGGAACTACATAGTATATGCTTGATCAAATGGTAAGATGCTATAAATAGTTTACAGTTAACAACCCAGATTTGCTAGAGTCAGAGTCAAAAACTCTGCAGTCTTAAATCTGTATGATAGATATTGGATCAGGCTTATTTTTTTACACTTCCAATAATACTTTTGTTGGTCTGGTTTTTCTTTCCTATTAGTAACTACATCAGAACTCAAATGACTGTATAGGACCATTGGGCCTCTTGTTAGATGCAAAAACAACATCAGTTTCCTTTATTTCATTTAAACAAAAGAAAGGAATGAAGAACAAGAATTGATTTTGTATGTGCTACATGTAATGTATATTTCGGCAACTTTCACAGAATTAACTTTGATAAACTACCCAATTTTAATAGTGGCCCTTTTTACAGTGGATAGCTGCCTAATACAAAAATACTAGTGTACTACATATAACCCAACACCCTAAATCTATTATATGATAAAAAAAAAAATATGGAATTCCAACCCATTTTAAATAGACATAGATAAATAGACAGGGTAAGGGTGTGGGGGCTTTCAAAAGAAGAGCCTTCTCAATTTTATTGTATCAGTTGAATGAGGTAATGAGACTTCTAAATAACCAAAATGCCCAGGGTGATGATATTTGGCCAGTAGCATGTTGAGATGAAGGGCTACAAAGTTTGTTCAAATGAATGACCTTCACTCATATTCAAGGTAACAGGGGTCAAATATGTTAAAATCTTTAAATGACCTCACCTGCATAACCAAAATGCCCACGGTGATGATATTTGGCCAGTAGCATGCTAAAATGAAGGGCTACCAAGTTTGTTCAAATGAATGACCTTCACTCATATTTAAGGTAACAGGGGTTTACACAAAATTGAGTCCCCTTGGCCTAAGAATGCTCCAGACCAAATTTAGTCTAAATCTACTGGGCCATTCAGGACAAGTAGCATTTTAAAGAAAAAGTTGACAAGTGGACGGGAGGACGACGTCCCGGACTACGGACGCTGCACCATGGCATAAAAGCTCACTTGCCCTTCGGGCAGATGAGCTAAAACAAAACAAAAATCGAAACACGTGCTAATTAAGTCTCATATCAGCTCAATAGGTAATTATAATAAGGTCCTTCGATAAAACTATCCGGATCTGTGATGTACAAAGATATTAACGACTAAAGTGATGTAATCAGCTTTCTGTAGTAGCGTTGAAATTTGTAGAAGTATGCATAACCAGATTTCATTTCGGACCATTTACCTTTCTCCATTGATGTCTCCATCTTCAACAGATTTTCCCAGCATGCATTCCAGTTCAGAAGCCGCAACATTGTACTATCTTTTCTGTTTAATAGCGCGCTTATATAGTACAGTGTTGACTATTTAGTGTGACAGTTCAACAGTGCATATAGAACTATTTAAGACGGAGTATGCGTTGGTATTACACATGTGAACGTACATTCGCTAGACTGCACTGTTCAGAACACGATGGCCGAAAGAGAGAATGAAATGGGGCGTACTTATTCGAAGGGAAAGCCTTTAGAAGTGAACGATATAGAGTGATCTGCCCCTTAACCAAGGTGAGTGTGCAACCATTCAGCTCCGACAATTTTCAAGTATTTTCCACAAATACTTCAGATGCATACTGCATAGATTGATGATAAACGCATGAATACTACCCGAGAACAGTGATAAGAAAAAATACGCCTGATAAAGACAGCTTCACGTGAGTTTAGACTGTCTTTTTGAACTTGATGTGATACATCTCTATAGAAAATGGCGGAATCCATTGACCACGCTCATGATAACCGTCGTCCGGACATGGATGAAGGGCAGAAGATCTATTCAGAGGTCGTTTCTGATAAACCCAAGAACTCGACTAAGCCGGTATTCATTAAAGAGTCCGACATATTTGGTCTGAATACGCCGCCGAGAGAGTAGTGGCTCAACCATGTTGAATTATACAAAGCGATATCCCGATCCATTTCAGGAGAGACAATAGTCGGTATCCAACGTGTACGTGGTCTGTGGAGAATATACACCGACTGTGAAAAGAGTAGAGACGCTCTCCTCACTTCAGGGATATATGGGATACATCTTCGAGCAAAAACTATCCCGATATACAACTCTAACCCTTCACGGCCGTCGTTATATTCTCAGAGAAGGGATACGGTGATGACGGTCAGGGTGAAGAATATACCGCTTTCCGCTGACAATGGCCAGATTCGAATGATCTTCACAATCAGAGACATCGATATTGTAAGTTTCTATCGAGAGAAACTGAGAGTCGATGGTAGGCTTACAAACTGCGAGACAGGTGACAGAATAGCTGTGGTAAACAAATTCTCACAGTCATTCTAAATATCTATGGAAATCGGAAGATACAGAGCAGTCGTGCTCCACAACGGTCAGATCAACAGGAAGCTCAAGTGCAACAACTGCCTTGAAGAATGGCACTTAGGCAAGAACTGTCCGAACGAAATAAAATGTAGAGAATGTGGCAGACCTGGCCATAAAGCAGCAGACTGCGTAGGGGAAGACGTTTCTGATGAAGACGTTTCAAGCTGCAATGCTGACTCAGGAGACGAAGAGGAGACAAAAGAAGATGAAGAAGTGTATGAGGAAGCAGAGACAAGTAAGGATTGTGCTGGTACAAAACAGACCAGGTTTCAGCAAAACACCAGTGAAACCCCAGCCCCAACTTCCAAACATCCCCATCCTCGAACCTCCGAAAAAGAACCAACTCAAAAAGGAAAGAAGGACAAGAAAAAGGGTAAACAGATTACAGTCCAGAAATCCACGCTAGACAATTTCATAACCGTATCTACCCCATCCAGAAAATTTAGCAATTTAGCCCCAGATCTGCGGTCTCCACCAACTCCAGCTGAAGAGCTAGAGTCAGGATCAAAGGCAAAAAAGAAACAAAGAGACAAGTCAGTATGAACTCAAAAAACAACTATATACTTGTGGATCATTATAGACAGTATGTTAAGTACTCACTATTGTTGATTTATATGTATACATATGTCTATGGACTAATGAAAAAAATAATGATTTCAACTTGTTGCATGGCTTCCTTCACACACTTTATCACGCTGTGCATTTGGTTTAACAGTAATGATAAGTTTGTAAAGGATGATTATGTGAAGCAGAGTAATTATAAGAATTACTGGCGACACAATAGAAGACATTTATGGTATGTTGATAAAGGAAAATACAGTCAAGCTTTTGATTATGATACTTTATTAAATTATCAATATAAATCTGAAAATATAT